TACATATTTAAAAACTAATCACTAACTGATTTAGTTAAAATTATAAGAAATTAAGCGGGGTAATGGGATGATATTATTGTATTTCCATTGCTTTCTTTTCCCTTGGTTATATTAAAAGAAATTTTTTAATTTTTGTCTCAAAGACACATGTTAATATTGTAATTACTATATATTTTTTTTACATTAATTGATATTAAAAATAATAAAAGCTTATATTAATTCATTATCAATACAATATTGATGGGCAACTAGAAGCAACAATTAAAAAGTTATGTATATTATTTAAAATTCTTACGTAATTATTTTTATTTTTTTGGTACATTAAGTAATTATTTTTATTCAAGTATAGTTATGATTAGTTTTCTTACTTTTATTAGGATGAGGTCTTCCATTAAGAGTCTTAAAAGTCTTTTGCTATTTTTATTTATCAAGAGTCTAATTTCTAGTTGAATTAGAAACTTTAAATTTCAAGGTATAGTTCTAATTAGAATAGAAATTCTAGTAGGAATCTTAGTAGTTTCTATATAAATATGCATATAGCTTCTTTCATTATTTTGTTCAAAATATTCAAAATTAGCAAGTTTTGCTCCTGATTGTGTGATGCAATTAGTTTTAAGTGTGATGCTTAATGGTTTATTTTCTTTAGGTGTGATGCCTAAAGAAAACCTAGGTGTGATTTCCAGGGTTTTCTATCTTTCTTGTTATTTTCTATTTTGGTTTGATTCCTAGGATTTTCTATCTTTTTTGTTATTTTCTATTTTCCCCTCTTATAAGCTATATTCTTAATCTCTTTACTATTAATGCATATTGTTCATAGTATATATTTGCCCTAAAACAGCCATTAAATCCCAAGCCTACCATATCCCTTAACTTGTCCCACATCAATTGGAATTAGAGAAAAGGATCCCACAACTTTGTTGCTATATATATATATATATATATATATTTGTATGTCTATTATGGAGACAAACACTAAGTTAAATGCTAGAATTATAGTTTTAGAAAGAGATTGTGAAAAGATCAAATTTGTGCTTAAGCAATGGGTTGAATGCATGGATTCGGTAAAAGAAAGGCTAACTAAGAAACTAGATTCCAAGGTAGAAGAGATGGTGACCAAGAAACTAAGTATTGTCCAAGTTGAAACCTTCAAAGAAACATCTCCTTACGAGCATGACATAAGGCCTACACAAACCCTTCAACTAACAATAGCCAGAACAAGGGATGAAGGAGGACAAAAAGGAATACAAGATACAACTGGTGATATTAGCAAGAAAATCTAGACTAAAGTCCTTGATTTTGAAGAGAAAGTTGTTCCTATTGTGTTTTCTAATTAGATCAATTTTATGATGGAATATTTCAACTGGAATGATATGGGAGATCTTTGAAGAGTTACGTTAGCTAACATGAAATTTGTGGGCTTAGCCAAAATATGGTGGTAGGGTGTTAAGAGTGACTTAGCTTGATTAGGACAACCACCCATTGCTAATTGGCTAGAGTTGAAGGCAAATTTGAGAGAAAAGTACTTGCTACAAAATTATCTAGTAAAAATGCGTGATAACGTTTATACTTTGAAGCAAGGAACCATAACAATGGCTAAATACATGCAAAGTTTTGATGAGCTAAAGATTCACAGTCAAGTTATGGAAGATGCCTTATAAGCTACATCTCAGTTTAGAGTTGGCCTAAGAGCTGATATCAAAAATGAATTACTCAAGCAACCTATTTATAGTGTTGAAGATGTATTCCAAGCAGCACTTAATGAACAAGAATATATAAACAACTAGAATATTAAGAAAATTGGGTTCCAAACAAGGGAGATAGTAGCGAGAAAGAGTTATGATTAATATTCAAATGCTTTACAGGCCTTAAACAACTACAACTGGCCAAATAATACTTTTTACAAAGGAAGAGAAAAGCGTTTTGCATTCAACAAAAAAGGTAATGAAAGAGTAACTTGCTTTAAGTGTAGAAAAGCTGGACACATGGCTTATTAGTGTCAAAGATAAAACATTTTGCATTTGAGAAAAACACAAGATGATGAAAAACAACAAGTTGAAGATGCTAAAGAAAATTCCTACGATTTTGGAGTTTACATGGTTGATGATCTTGAAGACGATGAAGATAGTTCCTATTTATCTTTTGTTAGGTTCGTCTTAATAGCCCCTAAGGTGAAGGAAAAAGATTGGAGACAAAATTCACTATTGTAAACCTTGGTTCATTGTGGAGATCAAGCTAAAAAGCTCGTTATTGATAGTAGAAGTTGCATGAATGTTGTATTAGAATCGATAATGGAACACCTCCAACTTCTCACAAAATTACATTCGTAACTATACAAGGTGGCTTGGTTAAATGATGCAACAATACTGGTAACTCAACAATACCTTGTTTATTTTAGCTATGGTGCTTACAATGACTCAACATTATTTGGTGTTATTCCTATGAAAGTCACACACATTCTTCTTGGTTGACCTTCACTCTATGACAAAAATGTGAGTCA